GTTCTAAAGATGATACTGGGGCTCAGAGAAATGAAGTAACTTGGATCAGTTTCCACCGCAGTGAGTCGCAGAGCTTTGGACCCAGGCCTCCGACACCAAAGCCCACAAGCTCCTGTTGCCCCAGAAACCGTGTGATCTGGTTGGAGATGAAGGACAGACATTCCAGACATTCAGACTCAAGTGCCTTTTTACCAGCACATGCAGGAGGTGGCTTGTGTCACCCTCCTCCTGCCCACAGGCCCCATGGTCAGGACCCCAAGCCCTTCCCTGGGTGCGCTGGGCCCAGCTGATGAGGAAGGTGGGGCAGGAGAGCAGGCCTGGCTCTCAGCGTGGACACAGGCAATCAATAAACGGCCTTTTACCCTAGCAGGTTTGGCTCAGTGGTTAGAGCGTCGGGCCACAGACTGAAGGGTCCCGGGTTCGATTCCAGCCGAGGGCACATACCTCAGTTGCAGGCTCGATCCCTGGCCCCAGTCAGTGTATGTGTGGGAGGCAACCAATCGATGTGTCTCTCTCACATCAATCTCTCTCTGCACCCCCCTTCCACTCTCTCTGAAAAGCAATGGAAAAAATATCCTCGGGTGAGAATTTAAAAAAATAAAAAGTGGCCTCTTGGCTCTTGGTGGGGTTCAGAAGGCACCCTGGGTTTGATTCCCAGGAGAAACAGCTGGTTTCAGTTTAGGACATTTAACATAAACAGCGAGGAGGTGTCTTTTCTAACCTCGAAGCCCTCAGGACCTTCCCAAATTCTACCAATATGTTGAGAAAAGATCCAGAGTATCTTCATTTCCTAAGCTGGGTGGCAAATGATCTTACACTCGCACCCCCCCCATCTCCTCCCAGACGGACCCAGGAGCAGGGGACAGGAGCAAGCCCCTCCGGCTGCTTTCCCAGGACAGTCAACAGGTGAGGGTGGGGGCTGTGTGCGTGTGGTTGGAGGGGATGACCATGCACTAGTACCGCACTCAGTTCTAGGGCATCGATTTTCAACCAGTGGACTGCAAGACTTTTTAAAGCATGCGGTAACTGACCATTTTGTCAGGGCGCTGACCTCTTCCCTTAGAGGACAACAGCCTCACGTCGCCTCCTCTGTGTGGCCGACATCCCTCTGCTTCTTACGCGCATTCAGGGCCCACTAAAATAACCCGCGTCTCATGAGCCTTAACTCAATCGCACCTGCAAACCCATCGGCATCTGAGGCACACAGGCTGCAGGGATTAGGGCCTCCAACTGCATCCAAGTGGGGCCCACACAGTGGAGGGCCTGTTGCTACTCCCTGCAGGATGGGGTGTTAGGGACGCCGGTGACTGGAGGCATGAAGAGCAACTCAGCCAAGTCGGAAAGGACCACCGAGGGGTTAACAACTCGAGAGACACCAGAAAGGGTGACTTCCGCCAAGACCCAGTCCCTTGCTACGCTGGCCAGGTGACAGGAGCAGAGGAGCCAGATGCTTCCCTGCAGGGGAAGCGGGTTGATTAGGCTCAGCTGTCCCCCTGGGTGCCTTTCCCAGCGGGATCTAACTGCCACTATTAATCACTCCACGGGGAACTTGGTCCTCGCTGTCCGCATGTGGCAGACACTGGGCCTTTATAAAGCTGGCTTCCTTGGTCTGATACTGGGGGACACTGGTTGGAGCCAGAGGGCAAAGTGCCAAAGCAGCCACAGCTCAGCCTGGAGGGCTGAACTGGGATCGCGCAGGTTCCAGAGGCTGGGGGACAGGGGCGACGCAAGTCAGCCTCTCTACAGGCTGACCCCAGCTACTTGACAAGAAAACAGGTGAGGGGACTGACCCTTTCCTCCTCCCAACTGCCTCTCAGGGCCCCAGCATATGCATCCTAGGTCCAAGGAATGGTCCTCAAATTGCAGGGGGAGTGTCCCTGTCACCCCTGGGCTTCCAACACACCCCTCCCAGAGAAGCTGGGTTTGGCGCTAGGAGGGCTGGGTGTCGGGGCCATGCGGATGGGCACCCACTCTCAGGTGAGGGCGCCCTGCTTAGAGGCACCCGGGGCGCTAAAGAATGAAGAGGGGATAGGGCCAGGCCCAGAGGAAGCAGAGGCCCAGCCGGCCATCGATGCCAGGCTCTGGAACCCGTGGGGAGAAGGGTGAGGGGTGCTTACCTTTATTTTCCGTAGTTGCCCAGCCCAGCTCTCCAGGGTGGGAAAGGAGGTAGCTGGGACCAGAGACTGATGCTTGGTCTAGCATTTGGCTGAAGAGACCCTATGCCAAGGTTGAAAGGACTCCAGCTTAAGGACGAGACATGGGCAAGCAGGCAAGTGCATTACCTACTGCTGAAGAATGGCTTAAAATGTACATCGACTATCTCACACCCTCGGGGCTGGGAACTGAGAAATGGCTGAGCTCGACGGTTCCGGCTGAGGTCCTCGCAAAGGTGCTGTCGGGGCGTCGGCAGGGGCTACAGTCATCTGAAGGTTGGACCGAGGCTGCAGAACTCACTTCCAAGAAGGTCCGATCGCGCGCTGTCTACAGGGGGCCTCGCCACAGGGCTTCCCCTCAGGGCTGCTGGAATGTCAGCTCCCCCCCAGAGCAGGTGACCGGGGGAGAGGTAGAAGCTTGAATGTTTTATAAGCTGCTCTCAAAGCTCACGATGCCATTTCCCCCACATTCTATTCATTAGAAACAAGTCACTAAGTACAACCTGCACTCGAGGGAGAGGAATTAGGTCCCTAGTTTGCAGCAGAGGATTTGTGGCCATATTGAAAGTGACCGACACGTGTGCTCTGCACTCCGCCGCGCTAACCACGGGCTCTTCATTCGATTGTTAAGACTCAACTCAAAGGGAAGCACCTGCTGCCTGGAGCTCTGACTCTCAGAAACAAAAGCATTTTGTATTGAGAGCAGTTTTAACTCAACAGCAGCCCTGGGAAATTAGATGGGATGAGAGGTTTCTGACACAAAACAAGATTAAGCTCTGCCAATGGCCTGACATCAAGGGGAGGGCCCAGTGGCAGCCCAGTGACAGAGCCCATGTGACGAGTCCTTGGGCCAGACGGTTAGTTGAGATCCTGGCAGATGGATGAAAATGGGTCCAGGCTCCAAACTGTCCGTGTTTCAACACATAACAGCTTGTAATTCCACCGAGCTCGACTCGGGGGTGTTGCGATTCTGGAGCACCAGTGAGCAGCAGGAAAAGTTGGGCTGCTTAAAAATACCCCGAAGAGAAAAGAACAGGAATGGGTTCTGTGTAAGTTAGTCATGAAGGTGCCTTGCGTGGTTGGCGGGGAGACTTATAATGGATTTTTTCTTGGAGAATTTGGCAGAGAAGTAGGAAAATATATATTTATCTTAGCTTGAGGTACAGTCCCCTCTGTCTGGGAAGATCGCCCTTCTAGGCTAGCCAGTGGCAGGAGGGTGAGGGAAAGGAGGACAAGGACCAGCCTTGCCAAAGCTGGTGCTCCTTGGAGCAGCTGGCTGGGACCCGTCTCCCTCACAGAGAGGCCTTTCTGAAGGGCTCCCTCCCTCTCCTGGCCTCACTGGGTCAGGCATGGAAAGGAGAAATGGGTCCACGCGAAGTATGTGTACACACACGTCCATGCGCACACGTGAAATACCTTAACCGGCACCTTAACTTGGTCACTAGAAACGTTACTCTTTAATTACTCAGAACTCAATAGAATTTTGGGCTATTTTATTTTGGCTCTTGGAAACTTGTTTCAAGGAAAAGACACTAGGTCATAAACATAGATGTTTGTTCACCAACGTGGAGTTATTATCATCACAGTTTTCAAAGGGGATCTTTGGGTAAACATTCGGTGAAGACTGGTAAGCAGCTTCAGCCTGCGATGCACACAGCACCACAGCACGTCTGTGACGGGACAGCTAATTAACGCCACTGGCCAGAAACACGTGAATGTGGTTCCCTCTCACACAGCCGCTGAGATGCACAGTTCTGCTTTTGCCCCAAAACATTTTGGGAACTCCCATTTAGGGACACTCACTGGAGAGGAAGCGGCATACAGACCAGATCCAACCAAAGACGCAGAGTCTGGACTGTCATCCCCCAATTCTCTGGTCTCGGCACCCGGGGCTGTTGGTATCACTAAACCCCCGACTCCCTTCCACATGATCAAGACTGGCCCCCGCTGTGGGTGCTGCTCAAGAGCAGGATCCTAGTTTTGAGTCTAGTTCCAGAATTCAGACAAGGTGGCTCCACCGGACTGGCCCAGCCCTCCTCCCAGGGGGACCACTCGGAAGACATCTAACCGGGAAGTGATGTTCCGGGCGGCTTGCTAACAAGCCCCTTCTTGCCCCTGTGCGCCCACCTCATACCGCCCCCCCGACAGGGCTGGGAAACACGAGGGACAGCTAGGTTCTAGAGCAACCGCCAACCTGAAGTCGGTGGCGTGCGTTCAGGCTGGGAGGGACCAGCAGCAGGTGTCAGGCACAGTGGCCAGGGTCTAACTGGCCCTGAAGCTCTTTGGCACAAGGAGCCGATGCGCCTGTCCTGGGCCCAACACTGCCGATGTAATAAAGGTCCTTATCATGCGCTCCAGGTCCGTGGACCGGAAACCAGCCCGTCCCACTCCAATCTGCAGAAGGAGTAGCCAATACTCAAATATCCTAACTTCCTAAAAGAGGGAGTATTCCCAGGAAAATAAAACAGGGTGTTTTCTGTTTAAAGGGGCAGGGCTTCTGTTGCTGGTACTGGATTCGACGGTCACCTCCTGGGGTGAGGACCTTCCTGCCAGGGCCAGGGTCAAAGTAAGTTCACCCCGTGCTTCAGCAGCTTCTGCTTGGCTTTGCCCGGGAGGCCAAAAGCGCTGTCCTGGGGACTCGGGAAGCCGGAGCTCCGCGCGGCCGACGCCAGCTGCTGGAAATAGGTTTCCTGGACAGGGTTGCAACAGGCGTACACAGCCGTGGAGGCGTTTCTATGGGAGGAAGACAGAAGGTAAGAGTCCGACGCTGCCTGAGCAGATCACAGGCCACACAGAGACCACACGAGGGGCTCAAGTGAGGCCGCACACCAGGGGCTGCGGGGCAGCTGGCGCGGCTCTGGGTCTACTTACTCACCTGAACTTCAGGTTCCGTGCCAATAACCATCTCCCGACCCTTTCAACTCACTGGATGGTAGGACTGTCCACGGTGGGACTGTCCACAGGGCCTGAAGTTACACTAACTGAATAAATGAACCGATGGCTGCACATCTGTTGACACAGTAGCAGCTGTGCAAAATGGTTTTCACGCAGCCTGGCTCACTCCTCATGTGGCCTCAGGCAGCGGTGGCATCACCCCATTCGACAGGTGAGGCCCTGAGGCTCAGAGGCGGGGGATGCCGCCGGGTCCGGCCTCTGTGCCAAGTGCTGCCAGTGTCGGGGGCGCTAATCCTCCACACACACTGGGGCAGCTGGGTGCGGAGGGGAGCGAGGGCACACGAGTGGGATGTGGAATGAAGTGACACGAAACCCGAGGACACAGAGGAGGAGGAATGAGGGTTTGGTGCAAAGAAGGACCCACTGGAGGGGAACCAACTCTGGGGCCAAGCAACCTGTTGGTTCCTGGATCCTGTCTCCAACGATTTCCCCCTGGGCCCCCGTTTCTCCAAATCCAGTGAAAGAGGGTGGAGTCAGAGACCGCTGAGGCTCCCTCACTAGGTCTCTCCTTCTCTGTAAGGGGACAAGAGGGTCCCACCCTCTTCCTCCAGCCTCTCCCTCTGGGGCCTCAAGGGGCCAGGAGCGCCTGCTGGGATAAGTGCTTTGTGCCGCTCACTGGGCCAGCAGGACACATCACTACAGCCGTGAGGGGGGGCACTGTGGCCTGGTGGCTATGAGCTAATCCCAGCCCTGAGCCCTAGCTTTCTCATATGTAAAATGGATCTTTAACAGCACAGTCCCTCACTGAGATTTTTAAAGAGATTAAATGAGTAGGAATATATGTAAATACATATAAATTGCTCAGCACATGGTGAGTTTTTAAGAAATGGTAGCTGTTGTTTCTGTTACTATTCTTAAAATAAGCTACACATCCCAACGCTAAAACCTTCTCAGCTCCAAGAAAGGTGAAACACTGTAGGGCCACGAGGTGGCTGATGGATCAGATGCTGACACTTATTTCCATCACTCACAAAATAGATTCACACCCCACTCACCAAAACCAGTTCCCAAACCAGTGAGCACAGATGCAGACAACGTCTAGGTTGCTGGCCGGGGCAGCTCTGACTTAAAGCCAGAAGAGACACACATTGTGGAAAGATACACTGAAATACTGGCTGGCGATGGTGCTGGGCCGCAAGAGCACCTGCACTCCAGTGGGCGCTAGAACCTCATCACGATGGCCCAGGCTCCAAGGCACGTCTGTGTGAGTCCAGAGCCCACACCCTTCCCACTCAACACACTGCCCCTGAAACTGGAAATGTGTGGAAAGAACATGTACTTTAGAGTCAGAGACCCGGGTTCAAAGCCTGGCTCTGCCACTCAACAAGGACGTGACCCTGGGGCAGATCACTTCTAGTACTGTGCTTCAGTGTCCTCATCTGTAAAATGAGGGGAAAATGCACTTGCCCAATCGCCCCCGGGACTAAATGGAATGTTCTACACACAGCACTCCCCTTGGACCCTCTAACTTGCCTGATGTTCTGCTGCTGGTTTCACAGAGAAGCATGGAGGGAGAAAGAGGAGAATTCAGTTGGTTAAATGCTACAAATTACAGTAATAATGAATAGAGCTCTCTACTAGCACCAAGGCGTTTAGGATACACAACGGAGTGGAAAAGGAACTTGTAAAACAGTACATTAATGATCTTGTTTTCTAGAAGACTATTAAAGTAGAAAACACTAATCATCTATATTTTATATACAAAAAATGAAAACGAAAAACAAAACTTGGAGTAAAATATACCAAGCTATCAACTAAGGGTATCTTTGGGATGTAGATGGCTGAGGGAGGAAACGGTTTACTTCGTGGATTTGGGAGAAGACTGAATTTCTTATAATGAGCATGTATGCTTGTTAGGTTGGAAGACAGTACCTCATCACTTCAGCACTCTTACAGGGAGACAGAGCCCCTCCTTCCCCGGATGGTGAGGACCTCCCTTGTCCTCATTGTTGTACCACAGGGTCTAAAGGAGGTCTCAGCCCCAGGATGGGACCCAGAAAATACACAGAAAAGCAGGAGAGTAGATAACAGGAGCCACAGGGTGAGTACAAGAAGGCCTTAAAGCCGGTAACTGGAATGTTCTCCATTTAGTTATGAGTAAGGCTCTGCCCGGGCCCCCTGGAAAGGTGGCTCAGGGGAAAGCTCACCTGAGGGTCATCTCGTACAGCGAGGGCACCTGGGCAAAGTCGGAATGCATCAGGCTGACGGCCTGCAGGAAGCGGCGATCCTGGGCTGTGGCGGCCTGGGGCAGACTCGCTTCCAGAGGAGGACACAGAAGTTGTAAGTAGCGGACTCCTGCCCACACCTCCCCAACTTAGCACTGTCAACTGGGACCAGCATGGCTCACAGCCACGAGTGCGGGTGCCAAGGGGGGGATAAAGGCCAGCCCAGGGTGCTGGGCCCTGCCAGCTGCCAGCAGCCAGCAAGCAACGGCACACGCACTGTCCCCGATCATGAGCAACACGGGTTTGTGCGTTGAGTATCACGATTTTGAGGCAGAGCCTTATCACAGGTACTTGGACATGCGTGTGCTTCTCTCAAGCACTGGAGAAAGAGCCAAAAAAAAGACAACTGAGCAAGGAAGTGTTTGCTAAGCAAGTTCAACACGCAGCGGGAGCCGGGCTGTGAGAGGAAGCAGCATCCTGGCCGGCTGCACAGCACACGCTCCGGCCGGGCGCCCGCACCCCCCCCCCC